CAAAATATGGAAAGAGCCCAAATGTCCACTGACTGATGAGTGGATAAAGATGTGGTATACACACACACACACACACATACACACACACACACACAGGAGCTAGGGGAAAAATTACTAAGGTATGGACTATGGAAATTTTAGTCTGGTGGGAAAAACAGATCATTAAAGTATGAAGAAGGTAACCACAGTGTATTATGGGGAGAATAGAGAAGCAGCTTCTAAATTTTTTAAATATTTATTTATTTTTGAGAGACAGTCAGAGCATGAGCAGGTGAGGAGTGGAAGGAGAGGAAGACACAGAATCTGAATAGGCTCCAAGCTCTGAGCTGTCAGCACATAGCCTGATGAGGGGCTCAAAGTCACGAACTGTGAGATCATGACCTGAGCCAAAGTTGGACACTTAACCGACTGAGACTTTTAAAAAAATTAAAAAAAAAATTTAATGCTTAATTTTGAGAAAGAGAGAGAGAGGGGGACGTAGCTTCTAAATCAGATTTGGAATTCATGGAAGGCTTTAGAAAGGAGTCACGTAGGAGTTATGATAGGTAGAGCATAGTTTAGGCAAAGGGACTTCAGGTATAATGGCATGTATAAAAGAATGGCTTTCTGAGCTAAGATGAATTTTTAAGGACCCTACATGTAGTTGTGAATTGTCTGAAACAAAAGATGTATTCAGAAGAGTGGATGGAGACATTAATAGTAGGAGGGGCCAGAATATATGTTATACCACAGAGCTTAGATTTTTACTCTTTAGGACAGTAGGAAATAATTGATTTTAAGCAAGGAATCGTTAGGATCAGATTGACATATTTCTAAATTTTCTTTTTTTTAATTTTAAAAATATTTATTTTTGAGAGAGACAGAGAGACAGTGTGAGCAGGGTAGGGGCAGAGAGAAGGGAAGACACAGAACCCAAAGCAGACTCCAGGACAGGAGCTGTCAGCACAGAGCTCAACTCAGGGCTTGAACTCATGAACTGCAAGATCATAACCTGAGCTGAAGTTGGATGTTAAATGACTGAGCCATCCAGGCGCCCCAGACTGACATATTTCAAAGATTGCATAGACAGCATAGTGTGATGCTTAAGCTCTAGTGCCCTTTGCTTGTTGTGGAAACCTTCTAACGTCCTGGAATGAGCACTAGCAATGAGTTTTGTGGCCAACTGTTCAGTGTAAAATTTTAAAAAGGAGGATATTTTAACTGCAATGGTCTCTTACTACTGTAACTTGCTTCTATTACATTTTCCCTAGGCCGAGGGCATTTTAGAAACAGGCTAAGGGACGTTCAGGATTATTTCATTATATTAAAGTAGTTTGTAGTTACCTCTATGTATAGCTAAGTTATTGCTAGCCATCCTGGTATACAAATAGCTTCTGGTAATGATCTTGCTACCCACCCAGCAGTTAAAACACAAAGATCTAGGGCCAAAGGTCATATTGTGATACGTGTGTTCATGATTTTCCATTTGTTCCTTAAAGAAGGACCCTAAGCCATATAAACATCAGCACCTACAAACCAAGATTTTTACCTGGAGCCATAGAAGACAGGACCAAATCAGTAAGTTATTGTAAAAAGTTTTTAGCCTTATGAGAAGTGAAGACCTGAACCAAGGCAGTGGTAGCAGAAACGGAGGGGAAGAGTTAAGATGCAAGCAGCATTCAGGCAGTACAATCTAGGAACTTGGCAACTGTTTGGATTCGGGGGTTAGTTTCATAACGGGTTGTCAACTTGGATAATTGGAAGGATGGAGGCCATTCATGGAGAAAGAACATATGGATCCCATTTTAGGCTTCTTGCATTTCAGGGGTCAGACAGGTAGAGAAAAAATGCTGGTCTGAGGCTCAGCTAAGCACCCAGGTGTTGGGAGATAGAATTTGCTATATTTTATTCTCTGGAATATATTTTCTTCACCTGTCTTTTTTGGCCCTTGCTTTCCAGTCCCCAGGCCAGGGAACCGCAGCCCCAAAGCTTCCCAGTGGCGCCTGCTCACCGGATGTGGGAGCAGCACTTCCGCCCCCAAGAGGCAGGCGCTCAGGGGACGCGCCACGCAGGGGCTGCTGGGCTCTCAGTCCGGTCCGACCTCCGTCGGTTCAGGGTAGCTAGTGAGTGGTTTTGCCTCTGCGTGGTTTTCAGCAGGATACCTTTTCCCACCGAGAGAGCGTTTTCTCCCCGTTTAATCCCCCAAACCTCCGCTTCCCCTGCAGGAAGTCAGGCATCTCCCCGAGGGCTTTGTAGGTCTCCAGGCACCGAGGCAGCGCAGCGGCGCTAATGAAGATGAGTCAGCACTGATTTCCCAGCTGGTAAACGCACGACTCATTACCTTTGGTGGTTTTGCACAAACCCCAGAAAGCTTCCTGAGCCGAGTTTACGGTCTGTGGTGGCTTTTGGTTCTCGGATATGAACCCAGAATCAAGAGGGAAACCGCTCAGTGATTAAGATACCTATTTCTTAAGCCGGAAAGGGACCGGAGTAATTGCAGCCTCCCGGAAGCCCAAAGTGGCCAATGTTCCTGAGCAAGTGGGAAGATTTGCACTATCTTGTGACCAAGCTCAGCGTAGCAGGATAGTTGAGGAAAACCTGATCTCGTTTTTACTGACAGATGTGGAATAACTAAAAATGTATAGTTTTTATTAGTTTACTACTTACAAATGTATTCTAAATAAGCCGTTCATGGCAGAATACCAAAATGTACTAGACCGTAGGAGTCCAGTGGGAAATTCCGTGTCGTTGAAGACGGCTGGTAAGGGAGTGTGGTAAGACCTGCTGTAATTATACCTTGAACCGCTGGTTGAATTAGAAGTCTGTCCATTCTTTAAAAAAACAAAAATGAAAACGTAACCATTCTACTGACCTGCTTGAAGTTGCTTTTGTTTTTGTTCTTTGGAATTGCACTTTTTACTTTGTAGTATGACCCACACTAGAGTTCAGCCCCATGAAGGCAGGACTTTTTTTTTTCTTCCTGCTTTCTATTGCATTTCAAAGCCAAGAACGGTTTTGGCCCAAAGTAAGCATTCGACACACTTATTGACTGATTGAGAAAATTAAACATGTTGCTTTTCAAGAAGCAGGAAGTAGAGCCTGCAGTGGGCTTGCATGATTGGCATGACCTATGTGGAACATAGTTCTACTCAAAGGCCTACAAGGAAAGGCAATCAGAAAATGAGCAAATGTTAATGAAGTACCTTCTATACCCCAAATGATCTTTCCAAATCTCCCAGAATTTACCATCTCTTCTCCATTAAACATTCTGACATTGTTATATTTGGGCCTATGTGGTTCACCTCTGCGGCATCTCTGATAGTGGTGTACGCATACCAGAAATAAGTATTTGTTGAAAGAGCATGGGAGGAAACTGGATAAGGCATTAAGTTACCTGGGAATTCATTAATTTATCACATGAACAGCCATTTGTTTTACAGAATTATGGTCCACAATTCCGCAAATTGTGTCTTTTGCAAATTGAGGTTTGTTTCTCTGAAGGATTTGTAAGTTTTCTATGAAAAATTTTGGGTTTTCATCTCAGTGATCCTCTGAAAAATTAAGTTTAATGTGTTCTGGGTTATCTGGATAACCAAATACTAACAAGAGGTTTTGGTATCTCTGTTTTCTATCTCTTTTGACCATGTTAGCACTACCTAGTGTAGTACTTTGTTTCAGGTTAATAAGGAAAGATCAGAGGCAGCATTAAAAAACGTAAGTGACTTATTCACCCCAAATTAAGCCCAAATGACATTAAGTTGCTTTGTGGGAAGATTTCACAGTAGTTTAAAAGGAGAAAAGAGAGAGATGAGTCATAATATATGATAAAACAGGCTTGCTAAAGTCAGTACTGTATTCCTATTCTGAGAGGTGATTTAGTTTGGCCAAACATAATCATTGGTGTTTGGAAATTAATATTTTAAATTTAAATTTAAATTTTACAGTTTTGTTTGCATTTATTTCATAATTTTGTCAGTTTTTTTTTGTAGTACACGAACTATAATATGAAGAGTTTGAGCCTAACCTGATATTTGTACATATTTATAAAATCATAATGAAAGTAGTTTAAATTGGGAACAAGAGACCTAGGAAAATGTGTTTTTGCTATACTCAAGTTTGTGAAAAATGACATTACAAAGCTTTGAGCTTTAAGGCCCAGAACATAGAATATTTATTTTAATGAAGTGCAGGTGGTGACAGTTCACTGTAGGAAAAATGTTTCTGCTACTAGTGGTGCTCTGGTAGTGAAAAATAGAAGAGAGGGATCTTAGCAAGATGAAAATGTAAGAAGATCAGTTGGGGAAAATGGAAAAATTTTAGATAAAATTGGAGCTTTCTTTGCGGTTTTGCTTTTGGCTCTGAATTTGTGAGTTCTCTTTCTTAGTGATTTTTCTCAAATGGCAAAGTGAAATGCAGTGTTTTTGTTTCCAGAGTTAAGAGAAGAAAATTGCTAATCACCACTTCTGTAGATGGTGTAAATCTCTCGTTGGGAACTCTGGGAGACCTAAAGAGCTGTTTAAAGTCACTGTGGTAGAAGATCGGAGGAAAGAGATGCTATCCTTCCCGCCCCACCTCCCCATCCCTGGTCTTGCATGGGAAAATAGGAATAGAAAGAAATGAGGTGAAGCTTTGTTTTGGTTTTACTTTAATAGAAGGGGTACTTGAGGCAGGTGTTATTTTAGAGTCAACTTTGCTACCATGTCCAGAGCAAAGGTGTCAGGAATTCAGCCACTCGACAAATATTTATGGAGCACCTCTATGGGCCAGGCATTATATGGAGAGCTGAAAACAGTGAGCAATACGGGGACTATGCCTATGGGACTTAGGTAAAACTAATACTTGGTGATTCTGTTGTATTATGTGCCTGTCTTCACAGGGTACACTTGAGTTGAATATGAGTGGGCAATGTGAAAAATTTTAGGGCACTCTTTATGTTGATTTGCTGATTTCTGGGATGGAATACAGAGTTAGATATTGTAAAGGCTCAGATTAATTTGTTCTTATCTTTCTCTGTTTTAAAGGGGTGTTATGAAAGTTGACATAAATCTTCAGAAAGTGGACATTGACCAATGTTCAAGTGATGGCTGGTTTTCAGGAACTCACAAATGCCACCTTAACAATTCAGAGGTAAGAACATGAAGATAAAGCCCTCTGAAATCAGAAGCTCAGAAATGGATAACTTTCGAATTATATTGTATTTGTACGGGTAAGTGAACAAGAGGCATCTTACTGGGAAAGAAAAATCTCCTCTGCAGTTCTGAATGTTGCCAAAGGAACTGAAAGAGGGGTAGAAAATGTTATGCGAATAACTGTTCATTTGGCTGAAGCTAAAAATATGTCTAAGTTTTGCTTTAGTTAAAGGCTGACCCTATTCTTCAGAATGGGGCTCAAATTAAAATAGCCATGAAGTGAGAAACCCCAGGAAGGGTCAACCAGATTATGTACATTTTTATGCAGTGTGATGCTTGTTGAAACATAGATGCTATACATTCAGACATGCTGCCATCTGGTAGGAAAGCAATAAAGTATGGGAGGGCAATTTTGAGAACAAGGAGAAAACTATACAGGGACCTGGATATGAAATATGTATACTTGTGTGTGTTTTTCCAGTTTGCAGCTCCTGTCTGTGCTCGATGTCATTGGCTCTGGTTGGTTTAAAAAAACAGGCCTAGAGCTCATACCTCTGGAAAGAAGACTGTTTACTTGTCTTTTGTAGTTGCAGAGAAGAAATGTGATGCCATCCTGATTTCATTCTCAGTATCTATCTCTCAGGCCGCCAAATGCTGTGAAACAGCTGTACAATAAAATTCCTGATCGTAAATGAATTCTTGGGCTATCCTAACTTTGAGTCCGTGAATTTGTCAGGAAAGTCAGCTTAATTTATTTAAAATACAGGGGATAGTGCCATAAATGGAGTAATTCAAATCTTCAATTTAAATTTTTGCTCCTGTGGAAGATGATTTTATGTAGTCCATTTTTTTACCTTCTTACATAATCTTTATTTTTTAATTTTAATTTTATTTTAATTTCAGTATAGTTAATATGCAGTGTTATATTAGTTTTAGGCTCAATGCATAGTGCAATTTTAAGGTCAGAAATTTTAGAGCAGAAGGATACTATCAGTAAGTGTTTATTTGTGCCATTACACAGAGAAGAAAAGTGTACAGGCATGAACACTGGTGTACATGTATGTACATGTACCCATTGCATGCTTCCCATGTGCAACCTTCCCATATCCTGCCATATACAACCCATGTATTTCCATACCCTCATATCCTGCCACTCCCAAAAAAATCTTCCAGTGTTTCACACATTCCCCACTACCCCTATACTATACCTCCTCCTGCCCCCATACTCCCTACCACAATATCTCTCAACCCTCCCACCCACTAAAACCCCAAGAAACCCTCATAACTCCCCACCTCCCTCTAAATCCATCACATAACTCTGCCGTATCCCTGTAACTCCTACTTCCTTAGGACCCTCTGTACATTCCTACATATTCCCACACCCCCTCCCACATTTCTGTACATCTTCACGTAGCCCACCCTGCACACAGCCCTCACTTCCTTCTCTCCCCCCACCCCCAAATTGGGATTCAAATGATGTAAGTGAACTATGTCAGTCTTATCAATTCATAGAAGCCAGGGCCCTCTTTTTGCTTCCTTTCCCTCTTTGTTCTTATGAGTTTTGAACTTTTCTGAGTTTCCACTTCCCTTTGGATTCATTCCAGCATTTCTAAAGGTAGGAATCTCAATCACTGATCTCGTGAACATCTTTAGCCTGATCATTATCTCCATGTCAATAGCGTGTAGCTATTTAGTTTTGTCTTTCAGCCAGGGTGGAATTTGTTTCTGCATGAGTGTTGTAGTGTGGATATGGGCTCATTTCTGTATAGCCTTGTTTCAGTGGTGCTCCGGGGTGGTTCAAATAAGTAGTCTGCCTACAAACAAGGAGGTGTTTACTTTTCAGTTTGTTACAGTTGCTGCCTGCCTCCCATAATCTTTGTATAGTTTGTTTGTTTCCTTCAAGCACTTCTGTTTGACTAGATGGTTATATTAAAAGAACCTCTATCTCCTTTCGGAAGATTGATTTATTTTCATTGCACCAAGATTACTAATTTTCTGGGTGCTGTGTCTTTTTAAAGCTTTCAAATAAAAGAAGTTATATCAAGACAAAAAATCAAGGTAAAATATCCTCTGTTCTGGTTAAGAAAGATTAGGTTGCAACGTGTAACTCCCATTATATATGGGAGCATTGTATTTATTAGATTCCTACAGGAAAAACTGGGAAAACATGTCCTACAAAGCAACTGACAGTTCTATGAATTTCATTTGAAAATGTTGTAGAAAGAGGCTTAATGATCAAAAATAAAAATAACAGCAACAAACAACGTACAAAATGCGTGTTTTGACTTAGACTCTGGCTCTCTCCACCCTCTCTCCGGCCCAGGTGCTAGAATGGAGATGGAAGATGCTGGTGTCCTGGGCTGGGCCCCTGAGGCCTGTGGTGGGTAGGCTGACTCCCAATGGCCTCTGTGGAGCAATTCACACTGTGGTGTGGGACTCCTCTAAGATTCTGCTGTTGATGCTGGTCACTCTAGGCACCTACAACTATTCAATATCACATCTTCAGTCTAGGGACTAGTAGTGGTCTTTCAGTCCTTCCTTGTACTGATGTGAGTTGGAGACTAGGAACTGGCTTCTCTCAAACTTTTGATTGCTTGGAAAAACAAAGAAAAATCACTTGTTCGGGGTATTTTTTCATCTGCACTGGCTCTCCTTTGTTCCTTGTCACATGTCTTCTGTTACAGACCCCAAAGATCACTATGTAAACCGGCTTATTTTGGGAAGTACTTAACATGATTCATATTTGTCGGGTGTAGGGGCCTATGTTTATGAATATCCGTATCATTAGAAACAGAGATACTCATGTTCATTGTGGGTTTTATCTTGCCAAAGTTTCACATTCTCCTCTTGCAAATACTAGTGGAAGTCACACATTTTAGTTACATTGAGGCAAACTTTTCACTTTTAAAATGTTTCTGGTGTGTTGAATTTTTAGGCTCCAGGGTATCTTAAACGAGAATAGTGAGTCTGATGTTGGAAACAGACAAGGGGCATGTGACCGATGACAGAAAAGCCTCAGGAGCATTTTAGAAAGGCATGGGATGGTTTGTGAGGAAAATAATTTCTCAATGAGTTTGGGTCCTTATGGGGACCCAAAGGGTTCCTTAGGAGGCCACTACGTATTTTTCGAAGGGCAGAGTAAAACAGGATCTGAGCTGACATCCTGCACTGGATTGCAGGATTATTCTGGCTATTTTGTAAGTGATCCACATCATTGCAATAAGGATTTGATCATGCTGTCAATGTTCGTTTCAGTGATCTTTGGCCCATTTTTATATGGTTTGCATTGAGTACACAAAATACTCCCTTACAGAATACTTTTTAAAAACATTAAAATAATCAATATTCATTTTTGTTTTAACGGTTTTCTTTTACGTTGTTTCCGTTATAAAAACTTTTAAATCACAAAGTAGGACAGTAGCCTTGAAAATTTTTAAGCATCTGCCCATTAGGATATGTGTACTTTTAATCTAGAAAGTATATGAGTCTTTTCTTATATATATATATAAAAGAAATATATATATAAGAATAAATATATATATTCTATATATCATAAATTAGAAAAGTTAGTTTGAGGAAAAGATAAAATAATATTTTAATGTAGAAGATATATTATAAAATTATATCTGTAATGGGAATAGTGAACTGATTCATAATTATGTTTCATCACTTTTTAAAACTTTGTTTAATTCTTAGTAATACAATGATTCAGAGGTCTCTAAGTTCAGTTTATTTTTATACTTTGTTTTAATGTCTGTCATGGTTGAAAATATTCCTCACAAGGATATGTTATTCCAAATTGAAGAAATAAATTGTTGACTGTGTTTGCTAAATTACAGTGTTCATTTTTTGGTTCCGTTTACCAATTTTGGAAAGGTTTTTGCAAAATTCAGCTGGTAGTCTTTCATCTAACTTGATGTCAGTTGGTCCTTACACACTATTTGGAAAGCTGGGAATTTAAAAAATTTTAAGGGAATAGGTTAAAAAGTCCACTCAAACATTTGTGAGGAATATTTTCAAACAGATTTGGAAATTTTATTTCCAGCTTCTCACCATACAGTTAATGAGTATTAATAGTTTTTGGCAATGAAAACACTGAAAACGTTTCCAAATAATGTACCCATGTTCAAAATGCTCACTTGAAAAGGCTTATGGATTGCAGTGGATCCATACATGGATTATTAAAATGTCACTTTTTCTTTGAAGGAACAGTTCATATTTTTGAAAATACCTGCCACATAGGCACTACTGACAATCACTTGTCATCGTAGAGAAGGTCAGCAAATTTGGAACATTTATACATAACTAATCTTTCATTTTGGAAACAAGTAGTTCCCTTTGAGATACTCAGAAAATCACTGTGTGGGAAAAGATTTTCCAGCATACCATCTCATTATGAAAAGTTGTAAATGTTTTACAGTTGAAAATAATGTACTCTGTAAATCCACTTATATGGTCAAATGTAAGTGATAATACATTGAATGTGAAAGCTAGTGAAGGACCCAGTTAACCACCGTCAATATTTCTGTGTCCGAGTTTCTAGCTTTCCTTCAGGATCCCTCCAGTGACTTATCAGTATTGTGGTCCTATGGCATGTGGACTGAGTAAGTGCATTAATGTCAATCCAAGTCTTAAATTAGTAAAGCTTAATTTCTTTTTTCTTTAAATAAAAAGGTTAAATATAAATAGAAGTTCTATTTTCTTTTCACATGCCAGTTAACTTTGTGTCGTCTGCTGTGTAGACTACTTCTTAAGGTTATCAGATGTACGGTTCTGTCTGGAATCCCCAGAATGGCTGTGTTGTCGGATCGGCCAATGGTTTTGTATAGCTCTAAGATAGTTTTCAGGTATCTCTTTTTTCCACTGAATGGATTACATGAGAATCTACTTGTCACTCTTTACTACCGCATTAAATCTAAGTTAACTAATCTCTAAAGGCATATTTTCAGAAAGTTGAAAATGTAAGAAAAATGTCATTTAGTTTGCAAGAAAAGAAAT